TAAAATAGCAATTTAGAGGATTAAATCAAATTCAATATTTCATAATAAGGGAGAGAAGATTATAATAAAAAAATAAAATGAGAATAGCTTTTTTAGTTTTTATCAGATGAATCAAAATACTAGGTTAAAAAAAGAACTTGAATCTTTATTGAGTAGAAACTAATTTATAAAGTCGATAAACTCAATTAATAATAAAATCTATTTATAATTTCATTTAGGATTATTGTCTAGGTTTTACCATCAATTACTAAGAAATATCAATGATTAGGTATAAGAATCAAGTTTTGAATTTAATGAAATCAATTATTTTTAAGTAAAATTGAGATTTTGTATCATATCTCAATATGGGTATTTAGTTTTTAGAGATTGTTAACAATAGAGTTTTATTTTAATTTAATGATAATCATCATATTTAAAATAGTTCTTCTTATACTATTACATAACTAAAAACCAAAAAGATTTATAGTAAAAAGGATAAAATACTAGGTCAACATCAATTATTTTGTTATTTAAAATGAAAGCATACAAATAACTTAAACCAAGTGTAATTATTCATTCTTTTTTTATTAAGCAGACCTAATAAAAATATTTTGAAAATAAAATTTAGTTATTTATCTTGATCACTATCAACTAGTCTAAAAGTATGAGTAATATTTATTAAATAAATAAAACATCTTTATTTTATTATGAAAATTAATCATTATGAATCAACAAATTAATTAGTGTGAATAAAAAAAATTTTATGGAGAAATAAGATAAAGTATTTATAAATTGATATCTTGATTTGAAATTTGATATAAATTAATTTTAATTGCATTATTAACGTGTTAATGATGATGGAAATCTGTAATATTAATGACTTATCTGGCCTAATAAAGGAAAAAGAGAAAGTTTATACATTTCGAAAACTTGAGAAAAAAGATGCATAAAATATTTTAGGTCTTATGACTAAATCATTTTTGAGTGATAATGAAGGATTTAAAATTTTGTAAGCAACTGAATAAGATTTAAACACAGATTAGTCTTTATAATTATTGTATATATATATTAAAATTTAAACCTTAGCTCATGGATGGTTTAAGAGAATCTATCTTTTGGTGCATTTCATGAAGATTAACTAATTTCTGCATGTTTAAGTTATGATTTATCATCAAATAATGATCTACATATTGAGGGACCCGAACCTTCATAAGTTATGATGGAAATAACAGATATGATAATTAAATTGCTTGATTAATATGCTAATACAAGTAATCTAGGCAAAAAAGAAATAGCTTATTTGAGTCATCTAGCTACAAAACCTGATCACTTTTAGTAGCATTTAGCTCTTTCATGTGCTTATTTATCAGTTGAAGAATGTAGAAAATAAGGATTTAAATAATTAATAACTGGGGCTGGACATGTTGGTACATAGAAGACTATTTCAAAAATATTCAAAAAATTTGATAAAATCAAGGAGATTAATGAGCTCAAAGGATAACCAACCTATATGGTTTCTTTGATTGGTTAATTATAATGAATATAGATTATTCATCAATAAATAAAATTAAATTAAAAAAATTTATTTAATTTCTCTAATATTAGAAATATATTTAGATTTCTAAAATAATAAATAAATCATTATTAATTATATATAACATTTAATCTAGCTAATCCATTCTGTAAATAAATTTAAATCTGATTATTTGTAAATTACATTCATATGCTTAAATTGTTATTATTCATCAATAAATTCTATTTATAAAGTCTAAGTAATACAAATATCTCATTATATCAATGCATTACATCATTATGCCCATAGTTATATAATTATTATTAAAAATAATTTCATTTTTGTATTTCTTAAGAACAATAAATCACTAAAAATTATTAAATTTAATTGAATTATTTATATATGATTCATTCTAAAGTAAATTTAAGCAAAAATTTTTTAAAATATTGCTCAATAATTAATTGTTATTATTAATTTGAATATTTCAATTTTTCCTTAAAGTAATATCAATTATCCTTTTTCTTAACACTTTAGAATATATTGGTAATTATTATTTCTATTCTTCAACAATTTTATGGAGAATTGAATTAAAATGTAATATGCTGGAAACTTTACAATAATATTGATTCCTAAGAAATTTTGTTGTTTGGGAGATGAGCTTTTTAAGTCTAAAATAAACTAATTTTAAATGAGCACTATTAACCTAAAAATAAATTTCAATTTCAAAAAATCTTTATATTTAAATATATTTAATGAAATCATTCGACAACTCTATTAATTTATTTTGCCCTATTTCTCTTTTATTGATATTTATTGATATAAATTATTATAAACAACATATTGAACAATAACTAAATTACAATAGTACTTTGATAATTAAATTTACTTTAATTAATTGTTATCTATAAATGAAATTCAGCTGATGATATTGAATTTTCTGCCTATAAGACAATGGAGTATTCACCTTCATAAGAATTTTCAAATTCAATTTCATACCCAAACATTCCTAAATGAGCATCTTATTGATTCGTAAAAATATAATGAGTATTATTGATTCTTTATATTTACACTTCTTATGATATATTTTAAATATAATCTAAAAATTATATATCTTATCTTAAATCATATAGAAAGAAAAATTAAGGATCTAATTATTTCAAAACCAAAAAATTATCATCTAAATAATGAATTTTCATTTAAGAGTAATAATTATCACCATGATTTCTAATTTGCTTTATCAATTAAAAATAAGAAATTGAATCATTCAAAATATCGATTTAAAATTTGGTCAAAAAAGAAAACTATTTAAAGAGAAAATAAATTTCCATAATAATTGTATTTGATTCAATTTTACATTAAACCAATTAGAGCTCTATAAAATCCTATAGCTTATCTGAAGTATACAAAAAATATTAGGAAAATAGTATATTTAATTCTTAAGTGATTATTCTGTTGTATATAATTTTGTATTCTTTTAAACTCATTGTATAAATTTTTAATTCAATATCGAAATTATGTTCAATATAAAGTCTTATTAAAGATACATAAAGATCAGATGAATTTTCAATATACAATAAATCTAAGAAATTATCAGAAATTTAGAGTTTAATAATTGTTAAATTTTAAACCCAATAAAGGTTATAATTCGAATCTTTAATGAGGATTAAATTTCCTATTTTAATAATTTTTTTATCAATTTGAGAAACTTAAATTTAAGTGATCAAATTAGAAATTTCAAAAAATGTTTCATTTGATAATGTAATTAATGAAAATTGTAAAGATCCATCAAAATCTATAATTAATAAATAATTAGAATCCATTATCCAGAATGAATCTAAAACTTAAGTTGAAATAAATTTATGTAAATTTTTTAAAATGATCTAGTTTTATAAAATCAACGCAGTAAAATGTAAAGTTTTCATATTTTTTTCGCTTTCAGAATAATATTAACGAAAACAAAAAAAGGAAGTGTCATCAGTACAATCAGAAATTTTTAAGTTGAATTATAAAGGGCCTTTTAATTTAGTTTATAAATTTTGTAAAGTAACATAATTAATTGGACCAAAAAAATAATTCTAAAGTTTCACTTAAAATTTTTAACCTTAAATCAAATTGATTTCAATTTTCTATTATTTTGAATATAAATTTTAACAAGTGTTCTGAATTAAAAGTTAAAAATTTTAATACGATGTATAATTCTCTTCTTTTTCAAACAATGTTAACTCCATTTCATAAGATGTAAAGAATTCATGCCAAATCTATTAAATCTGTACTTCTAAAACAAGATTAAACAGATATTTTTATCTTAATACTTTATTAACATCATAATACAAAAGAGTATTCTAGTAAAATATAAAATTTGTGCTAGCAGTTTAGATAATATCATTTAATATTAAGCTATTTTAATAACGATAAAGTATAGCTAAATATTAAAAGTTGTTTTTTTCTACCAGAATAACAAAGTAAGATATAGAAGTAATGTATTAAAGCGGATATGAGAGATTATAATTTGAAAAAGTAAAATTTGACATTTCAAGTATCTGAAATTAATCTAAATAATAAATCATAATTGTATTAGTTTGATTTTTTACAGCAAATATTTAAAATTAGATCGATACTACCCAAGTGGATATGTAAAATACATGAACTTCTTGCAATTTAAAACATTTGACATTTTACTTAAGTTCCAAAATAAAAACATTGGGATAATGTATAAAATAAAAATCCCCTATTTTTTAGTAATACAGAATCTCTTCATTTTAATATAGATTATTGGATAATTAAAATAGTTGTTTTGTTAATATTTCTAGTAATAGAGGTAATTTTTGATTTTTAATGTTAATTATTAAATGAGATTAAATTTATTTAATCCTTTATATTTTCTTATTAAAATTTATTTATGAAGCTGAAATTTCTCCAGGTAAAATTTATATTACTTTGATAGTATTATTATCTTAACCATATAGGTAAAATTCATCACCATATTAAAATACTGTTATTTAATTGATATTTATTTTTGTTAAAATCTAATTATTTTAACAATCAAAAATAAAAAGGAGACTCTTTGTTATTAGGTAAAGATAATTATTCATTACTATTTATTTCAAATATATATCAGCAAAATTATGTTGATTCATAAAATTTTTATAACAAATTAAGTCAAATTTTTGATTATTCCAAATACTTACATTTAACATGTTAATTTCTTTTTTAAATAAAGGATATGAGAAGTATTCTAATGATATAAATTGTTTTTATGGATAAAAAAATTATTATATTTTTTAACAAGTTATTTATATAGGAACCATGATCTAATTTTAAATTTGAACTTAGTTTTTATTTTCATATTAGATTTTATAACACACAACAAGATTTTTATTAAAGGATGATTTGGAAATGAGAAATAAATACTTAAGTTTAGGTTTTATAAAAGTGTTTAATGGAAAGTATCTATAAAATTGAAGAACTTTATTATAACTATCAATTTAGAAAAATAAATTATATTATCTGAAAAAAGTTAATTGGGTATCTAAAATATTGTAAGTCTTGTTTAGATTAAGATCAATCAATATTGTTAATTGAGTTTTATTTTATAAAAAGATAAAATCTGAGTGATAATGTATATCCTTTGTCTTATAGTATTCTTACAAGCCTATCTCTGCTATTTGATATTCATTAAAATTATTATTAGGTTCATCTATTTTTAATATCATAATGGTATGAATACAAGAATAATCTGCTACAATTTTTTAAAGCTCCCTTTCATACTTTTCAAATTAAATATATTTAAAATAATTAGGAATATTGTAAATAAGATTAATATATTAATTTTTTTCGATCAGGAAGAAAAAAATTATTTTTTATTTTAGACAAAATGAAATATCATAAATGAATGAGAATTATGAAATTGAAGGATATTCTTCTATCATATTATATTCTAAAATGACATAAAATTACTATTTATCCATTTAAAGTATCAACCATTTTGAGCATTAATAATACATGATAAAAATTTAGTTATTTTACATACAAAATTATTATTTTTTACATCTATCTTAAATTTAACTTGATACATCATACACCAAATCTATCTTTATTTAATTTAAAAGTGTTATATGGTATTTAATTAAAAAGTTATTTTTAGAACATAAAAGTATGAATCCATCATTTTAAAAATGCATTTCATCACATATTTCTTAAGATGAAATATTTGTTTCTAATTTAATTTTTTCAACAAAACTATTATTTTTGGAAAAATAGATCGATTCGAATTTGATACATCTAATAATATATTAGGATGTAAGAAATAAGGAACATATCAATTTTTCTTCAATTTTTTCTTCTTCAATAGAGTTAATAATTTTTATTTAAATTGGCTCTTCCTCATATGGTATAATAAACTATCTTTCTAAAATTTCTTAATCAATCTTATTAATATTTATATAATCCTCTTCCTCTCCTTCTAGTATATAACGATCAAACTAATTAGCATAATAAGTAGTATTTGGGATCATTGTTAAATTTTAACAATTAGCTTCCTGAGAATATGAAATTTGAATAGTGAATTCAAAAATTAGTAAAACAATATTCATTTTATTTTAAAGGATAATTATAATATAAATTAAAAAAAATTTATTTAATGAAAATATGTCATATTTTAGTTATATACATGTTATGATAATTATTCAAAAAATAACATTATTATTACTCCAAAATAATGTAAAATTTTAAATGATATTTTCCAAGATGTTATGAAAATAATGTTTTTCAATATAAAATAAATATTGTATAAGATCGTACCTGATATCCAATTTTCAAATATTGAAATTGTAGATTGTAGCTAAAACATGATATTCTATAAAACTTGAATTCCTTCTAATGAGATTATTCATTTTATATTTAAGAATCAAATATTAATAATAATTAAATACTAAAAACCAAGTAGCATCAAATCCATTTTTGATTAATGAAAACGCACATACTGATTAGTAATGTTATATCTCAAGATAAAAAAGATGATTTACCGATCTGAAATTTAGATTAACAGTAAGAATTATTTACATAATTTAGAGATTAGGGTTATCAATTTTATAGAAGTGGAACAAAATCAAGCCATCATAATCAATAAACTTTAGAAAGAATAGATTTTAATGGAATAAAAAATAGTGAAATATATATAATTATTTTTAATAAAAATATTAAGATAATGATTTATAATTTTATACTATTTCTACTGTTCTCTAAACATATTTCATAATGGGTAATATTTGACAAATATTTGATTGATGATAAGAATTTAACATAATTTTAGGAAGCTTCTACAAGTGAAACATTTTATAGGATTTGCACATCACCATAATTTAAATTATTAACTTTATCTAAAGATCACCCTACAGTCACATAGATAAGTAATCTAATATTAGATTAAGGTTTTCATATATCATTTGAATTAATATTTCAGGGTACATGGGTTAATGGATTAATAACATTTTAATTTGGAAATAATGTTTTTAAATTATAATATTCAACACCTGCATAATATGAAAATTTTTCATTATTTTGTGAAACATCTTAAGCCGAAACTAAAACTATAAATTTAACTCTATTAAATTCATAAACAAGTAAAATGTAATTTAAAATGTCAAATGAAGGAGATGGATAGGTTTCATTAAAGAATATATTAATATCAAAAATAAAATGCCACTATCTTTGTAAGAGATGTTTTGGCGCAGAATCTAATTAATGTATTCAGTGTTTTTATGGAAATCCTTAAAATGGGATTTGTAACTAATGTCCTTCAGATAGTGTTTTACGTCCAGAACTTGGATGTAGAACAGGATGTGATATTTCCTAACCATTTTACTATAACAATTAATGTTTATACTATCAAAGTATATTTAAAATTTAATTAATTAGGTTTGACAATACTTTTCGCTGATTATATTTTACTGGAAGAGAGAACTAATATTAAAGTTATTCAAGATTACACAAATACTGATCAATAACCTATTCATTTTAGTTATGATGGAAGAAAGGACATAATAGGGTTATTCAAATTTAATCAAGGATTAGAAAGATTGATAAATGAAATTAATTCAGATTATGGAACCTATTTGATTGGTATAAAAGTAGAGATTTTGATATTCGATGACATACCTAAAGGAGGTAGTATTTCATTAAAAATTAACAACACTTATAAAGGTTCTATATATAATGATGGAACCTCACTTAAATTTCATAAATTGAAATTAATTTCGATAGAATTATTAGCTAGTTATTAATAATATACTAAATCTATGGCTTACTTTTTATAAATGTTTGTAGATATTCCTTAATATCACTTTACTTTAAGTATTGTAGGAAATTATGGGTAATATATAATTATTAAATTTAGTGATTCTTTTTATTCTTGGGCTTATGAACAACTCTACATCACTTCAGGCTATTGCCCAATAAATTGTGAATTATGTGAATTACCATTTTAATGTAAAATTTGTAAATCATCCTTTTACAATTACAGAGATGGTCAATGCACAGTTTGTTCAAAACCTTATTAAAAATTAAAAGGTTCGTATTGTTAAGATGTTGATGATGAAACACCATGTATTATTTTTAATATCTTTAGACTCTAAATATTTAGTATAAGAATATAAAGATTTAACAAATGACCCTAGCTAATTTTCATAATATTCTATTGTGTCATAAAATGGAATAAACTTTATGAAAGGATCAGATATCTTATATTCCATCTTTAACAACATAAGAATTTTTGGTGGTCAATTAGTTTGGTCTTAAGTTAAATTTTTAAGGGTTCATTAAATCTTTGAACCTCACCATAGCATAACTATTGTATTCTATATAGTATTTGGACCATCTTTTCCTTAAACTAGTCAATTCATTTATACAATTGAATAAAATGATCCTGTAATTAAAAAAAAAGGTTCTTCTTAAATAACTAAAATATATGAAAAAATTTAACATTCCGAATCATCATTAATTATGTAATGGGAATGTTAGGGTTCACAAAATGAACCATATCAAGCATATTGTGGGTTTTATAATTATTATATAGCAGTTCATTATTGTAAACCTTATTGTTCAAAATGTAATAATTAAGATGATTGTATTTAATGGAATCCTAATTATGATCCAAACATTGTTAAATTTTCTTAAGCAGAATGCAATAATAATTAATATTTTGATTAAAGATCTCTATAATGTTATTCATGTCCAGAATAATGTTTAACATGTTTATCTTAATTTTACTGTTTAACATGTTAAGAATCATTTATTTAATCTAAATTAGGATGCATATGTAAAACAAATTAATATGAGTAATCAAACTATTGTTATGATTGTCCTATTGAATGTGAACAATGTTCAAGTTCTAAATGGTGTACAGAATGCTCTTTAAACCTTAATCGTATTTAGTCTAATGGTAATTGTGTTTGTATCAATGGCTATACATCTTATTAATTAGACCCTTTTTGTTATAAATGTTCAACACTTCATTGTCATATTTGCGATAAAGTAAACGGATTAGAATGCTACTCTTGTCAAAACGGTTACCGATTAATCGAAAACAATTGTTTCTCCATTTGTGGTGATGGAATAATAACTGAAGATGAATAATGTGATGATGGTAATTTGATTAATGAGGATGGCTGTCATTCTTGCTTATATAATTGCTAACATTCATGCTAATTTTGTATTAATGGAATATGTGTAGAATGCTATGATGGTTATATCTTAATATCATCAAAATGTTATTCTATTTGTGGCCTTGATTAGACTTTCAATAAAGGAAAATGTTAAACTAGTATATTTATTATTTAAATAATATAGTAACAAATTCATTGATAATTAAAAGGCTTATAACTTATTATATTAGAAATTTTACTAATCCTTAAATCTAAATATAAATGTAAGATGAATTCTTAACCATTTTAAAAAATAAATCAAAAGTTTTTTACATCAATTAATCCATTTCTCATCTTAATTTAAAGATTTATGTTCAATGCAGTTTATATAACAATTTATTCTATTATTTTTTACATTGCTATGAATGCAACATCAAAAAATCATATGAATTCTACCACAATTGTTCTAATACTACTAATGTGTTAATATAGTATTAAATTCTATTTGAAAAAAAACTATTTAAGCAGGAATAAATAGTAATTTCACATACATCTTTAGATTTTCAAGTAGATCAAGTATTCTTCAATTAGACTTATTATTTAGTGAATATCATTAAAATTTAATTAAATTGATAATTATCTATTTAGAAAACTTAATTACGCAATTTTTCATGGTATTTTATCAAATTCATCTATAATTCTATTTTTTAGAATATTAATATAATTTATTATTGATATCATATTATACTCTTTCTCATAATAAATAGATATATATAATAATTTGCAAATTAATTTAATATTTAAAATAATTAAATATCTAGAATAAAAAAAAAAACTATAAACTAGTTAGATATATCATAGCCTACTATATATCAAATAATTAAGCAAATAAATTTACACTTTTCATCAATCCATGATATTAATAAAATAATTATTAAACAACTTACTCAATAAATAAATTAATTTATCATATTGATTGTTATATAATGTTAGTTTTGAGTAAATGCTAAATAAAAAATAAATTACAAATGATCAAATAATTTTTTATAAAAGTAATATTAATTTTTAAATATAATTTATAATTGAACAATTATTAAATATATGGTAAATAATTATGGCTTCTTAAATATAATTTATATATTAATAATTTAATATTCATTTTTGATCTCTTTTTTAGAGTTGTTTTTCACATTAATCTATTTAGAAATATTAAAATACTCTTTTTATTTTTAACCCAATTATTATTTGGATTTATTTAAATAGCTTAATCATAATAAAAGATTGCTTCAGAAAATTTTGATAGTGATTATAAGCAAGCACCTCAATTTTAAAAAGTTTTATTACCTTTCGTTCCTAATGAATTTACATATTTTGAATCTATTAACAAAGATTTATCAGCACAAATAATTGCTTCATCATATTTACCAAGCATTCTTAAAGACTCAGCTAATATTTTAACAGATATAATTTTAATTACCCTTTGTCTACAATGAGATTTTATGTTTAGAATCTATTTATAATGCTTTATCAGCCCAACTTATTGCTTCTACATATTTTTAAAGCAGTCTTAAAGATTCAGCTAACATTTAACATATGTAATATATATTACCCTTAGTAAATAATGAATTTACATGATTTGAATCTATTTACAATGCTTTATCAGCCAAACTTATTGCCTCATTATAATTACCAAGTTATCTTACTGATGCAGCTAAATTTTAATATCTATATTATATTACCCTTTGTTGCTATTGAATTCACATGATTAGAATCTATTGATAAGGCTTTATTAGCCCAAATAATTGCTTCATTAAAATTGCAAAGCATCCTTAACGATTCAGCTATTATTTTAACATATTTAATATATACAACCCTTAGTAAATAATGAGTTTACATTTTTAGGATCTATTTATAATACTTTATCAGCCCAAATAATTGCATCATTAAAATTGCAAAGCATCCTTAAAGATTCAGCTATTATTTTATCATATTTAATATATACAACCCTTAGTAATTAATGAGTTTACATTATTAGGATCTATTTATAATACTTTATCAGCCCAAATAATTGCATCATTATAATTACCAAGCTTACCTAAGGATGCAGCTAAAATTTTAAAATATCTAAAATACATTACCCTTGGTATATAAAGATAATTAATGATTTGGATTAATGATTAGTGCTTCATCTAAATATTTAATAGCTTCATTATAATTTTTTTTATCCTAATATAATGCGTATCCTAAATTATGAATTTTATACCTTACTAAAATAATTACTCTGTTTTTTACATCTATATTAAATTTGTTTCATATTCATTTAAAAGATTTAAATTACATTCTGTTATTATTTTATTGAATTAAAATATTATATCATTCGAACATTAATCTACATTTAATAATATTCTTTTCGCAATTTCATCATATTTCAACATATAATCCAAAGTTTAATTTAATTATTGTGCATTTAATTATGTAAGTTTTTCTAACGAAAATATATATCTTGCTCTGATTCCTTCATATATTATTTAAAATTATTAGTTAATTTTTTCAGAATAAGAGTTTAGTTTCTTTATTAATTCTTCACTTTATTATTTAACGTTTTCTGCCAATCCAAGTAATTTGATCAAATCATATTGATCATTTGGATGTGCTATATGATCTCCCAATCTTAAACATTTCAAACAATAAATCCTATTTGCTTTACAAGATTCATTAAAGCAAGCTAACTAAACAATACAATCATGCTCTGTATTTGGACACTTTATATCCCAATCTTTTATTTAATTCATATTTTTATTAATATATTTATAATTCAATAATTAAATAAATTTATATTAATTTATTAAAAATTCTACAAATCTTATAATTTTTGAATATTAGCGCACAAAAAGTATTGCCATGTTAATTTGATGATCGTAATCCTTTTTATAATCGTAATAACCAAAATTATTTTTCATATTATTAAAATTATAATAACTCAAATAAATTTTAAAAACAATTCAAACTACAATAAACTACCCTTAGACAATTCAACAAATCAAGGCTTAAATTAATGGATTTATAAATTAGAATATGAATGAATCTTTTTAAGAATTTTTAGTGATGAGATAAATTAATTTCCTTTTGAAAAAGCATGGATTCAACAAACCAAAATGCTTATTTTTTTTCTCACTTCTTGTGGAAATTATCAATATCCAAAAGAACTTCAAGATCTTTGATTAAACAATATCTAACTTAGATTAGAAGTTGAATTAATGAAATCCTAAATATATATTGTCTTTTAGAATTCAATATTATTAATTACTATCAAAAACTACTATTATTTATTTAGGTTTAGAATTAATTATAGTGATGATATATTTTTCCTTTAAAATTACTTTTTTCTAAGTATTATTTCATTATTATAGGAGATAGTATGTTAATAAATTAAAAAAGTGTGAGAAAATATGTCAAAAAATACATTAGATATGTACGAAATAATTATTCAAAGATATATATTAATATCTAAAAGTAGAAATAATATTAGTCAATCATTTTTATTAGTTTGATTTGCTATAATTTAAACTAATGATATCACAAAATTGACTGAAAATAAAATAATTGTATTTTAAAACTCTTTTTTGAAATTTATATTTATCTGATTTTTAAACTGTAAATTTTTTATAAATTTTAACAGTTTAATGTAAGAAATATATAAATAACAATAAATAGAGAGTTTTTTTATCTAAGTAGCAATTCAAACTAAGACTTTAATCACTTAAGAATGAATTTACTCTAACAATAATTACAGCAAGATTTGATTCATGAATCTTTGAGAAAACATGTACCTATCCAGAAGTTTTTTGCAAAAATGAAAATACCTTTCTTTTCACTATAGACTTTTAAACCATAAGTTTTTATTGTTCTCGAGAAAGTTGGAGTGTTTGAATATGCAGATTTTCTATTTGAGATATAAGAAATCAATAAATAGAGTAAAATATCTTTTTTTCGTTAGGTTTGCACATTATGTTACTAATTAATTAAGATTGATGAGATTTATAATGTAAAAGTTTCATTATAATAAAATCCAGAATAATGTCCTAATTTGACTCAAGTGGGATTTCAGGGCTAAAAGAAGCATATTTCGATTTTAAGTTTATAGTCTCTACAAGTGATTATTCTGAAATTATTCAAAACTAAACAAACTCATGGTTTATAGCAACCTATACTGGAATGTCATACCAACTTTTTGGCTATTTGATTACGTAAAGATTACTTGAGCCTTTAAGACTATAAATTTAATTATAGTCTTGTTACATGTATTTAATTAATTAAAATTAGGGTCAAGTATTTTCCCGCCTTGATATCATTCTAATGGTTTTATTTTGCGTAATTTGACAACTTAGTACTATCCCTTAAAATTATTATAATTATAAACCGAATAAAGGTAAAATCCAAAATTCAATATGTTTTCAAATCTAAGAAACTTAGTAAGAAATTAATTCTATAGGGGAATTTTACTTAACAACCAATAAGGAATTTACTAAAATCACAGTTTCAATATAAATACCATGTCTCTTAGGAAAATATTTATTAAGCAAATTCTATAAATGCCCCTTCTGCACTTCAAAAAAATTTTATTAAAATGTTTATTATTGTGGTGATACGAATAAAGAGTAAGTTTTTATGTTTAAGTATTCGTAATGGCTTGAAGTATATTAAGAACTAAAAATCATTTTATAAAACAATATTTATTAAATGAATCAGATACTTTAAGACATTTGATAGATTATTAAATTAATATTATATATTTATATTAATGGTATATATTTTTTAAATGAATAAATATTATAATTTAATATTAAAATTAAAAATAACTTACATTAATTTTGAAGTGTCTGAGCTATTCCAGGAATCAAATAGATTGGTTAAATATAAAACCACAAATAGGATCATCTGAAGAAAAATCTGGTTTATGGATATTAGAAATTTATTAGATTTAAACAAGGTG